TCTCTCTCTCTAACAAAAAAAATGAAACTCGCGAAATATTAAATGATAAATGTAAAATATATAAATTTATTTAATTATAATACTTAATAAATAAAATGATAGTTTATAAATGTTTAGCAATAATTAAATTTATTCATAATCAATACAAAGTGGCGCTAATGCCGGCTGTTTTCAGACCACTGGTGACGGCATTGCGTGCGGTATTGAGTGCTTTACCAACGATTCCCTCGACATATGCCATAGGATTGCCGGTAATGAGCGGCAGATTAGAGTTGGCACAAGCGGTTTGCAGTCTACTCTTGACAGCACCCAAAGCCGAGCGTATGGCCTGAGTCGAGGCTCCCTCAACGGTAGCCAAATAATCGCCAGACAGTGGGCTCTGATTAGTGGCCTCACAAGCGTTTCGCAAGTACTCATTGGCGGCGCCGATAGCCTTGCTTAGCGACTGTTGAACAGTCGACTGGACCGATGCCAACGTGTCGTCAACATTGATCGGGTAGTCGATGGCAGCCGAGGCTCTATGGAGAGCACAGTTGCAGGCGCTGGCCGTGGAGTTCAATTTCTGGCCAACAATTTCCTCCAGATGTTCAACAGGTATACCGGAAATGTGCTCCGAGTCGGTGGTCTGGCACACGGTTTCCAATCGTCCCTTCAGGGCGTCGATGGCTTTGTTTAGGTACTGACCGGCCATACCCTCCGAATAGCCCGACAGACCATCGGCCAGAATAGCCTGATTAATGGACGCGCAGGCGCTTCTCATACCGTTGTTTATGGCACCGGCGGTGGTGTTCAACACTCGGCCAGCGGTAGCCTCCAGTGCGCCCAATGGGTTCAGAGCGGATCCGGCTGTCTGTAGGCCAGTATTGACAACTCCTTGTGCGGTGTTTAGTGACTGTCCGACCACTCCGTTAGCGGTGTTTAGCGACTGATCAACAATATTGCTGATAAAACCAAATGGATTTCTGGGAATGGCGTTCATTGAGTTGTCGGCAATGTTGGCGAAGGGTCTGACGGCGCTGTTGGCGAACCCGAGTCCGCCTCTGATACCGGATTCCATGGTATGGAAGGTGTTGTCCATTATATCGCTGAAAAATCCCGACGGTTTGGGACTCGCAATCGACAGACCAACCAATGATAGGATTATAAAGACTTTCATTGTTTTTTTGGATTTATGTTTTGCTTTATTGAAACAAACAATTGAATTGATTTCTAAATGATTTTTGTCAACAGTTTTTATACATTAGAAAATTGAATTGAGTTTTCATTTATGACATCAAATGGTTTTGAAATAATAATTAATTGTCTTGTTTTGAACAGTATTTATATTACGTAAAACATATATTTATGAACATTATATTATTAATTATACAGTAGTGTGTTTAGTGGATTTGAACATAATTAATTATGAATAAAACATAAAAATCCTGTTCAATATTTAGTCATAATTGTTTTATGATATGAAAAGTAAATGTAAAACTTGTTAAAAATTGTCAAAAATCATATTTATAAACAAGACCCAAAATTAATTAATCTAGATACCTAAATCAGCAATGCTAACAAATACGTTTTTTCCATAAAAAATGTTTTGAGCCAATCATTATAACCGTTATAATGATTGACTAAATATTGTGCCCTTAAATTGAATGCATACTCGTCTTATCCACCCCTTCCTTTCTATGACTATAACACTGTATATGAACAGTTGCACTCTATATAATCACATTTGCCCATAGAATTGCCCCGCTCAGCATCTATGACCTAGATGTTTTGTAATAGCAGGAGTAATATATGCTAGTTTAAAATTGTCTGATAACGGCGGTGTGCATAATTAATTATAAATATTACTAACGTCATTGTAGTCCTTACAAGTTAGTACATATTAATATAATTTATTGACGTAAATCCTTTTGATAATTAATTATACATTTATGTGTCGCAGCAGTTTAATTATTATGATTATTTATAAAATGATATTATTTTAAATTTTATTATAATATTTTTACAAATATTGTATTTAAAAAATTATATTTATTATGTGTTAAATACCTGTAAAATATCTTAATACTTGCAAAAAAAAACTCCAGCAGTGAGATATTATTAACCTTTCACACGACACCTTAACCTAACTTAACCTGACAGCTAAACTACAAAGGCTGCTCATTTTTGGCCCTCAAATAAGAGTCAACAATAATTTATTAGTCAAAGGCTTTCATTGTTATAACATTTAATATTATTTATAATTTTTAAATCACTTTATATTATACAACAGGATAACAAATAAATTGAATTTTTTTAGTTTACACATTAATGTTTGGATATAATTAATTAATTATTTTATTTTGATAAGTATTTTTTAGTAATTAATCAACCCACTAATTGTTTTTATAATACCTTTTTAGTTATAAATTTATTTCCGGTTCGCATAGACTTATATTTTAATTGTATAATTAATTTACTAAAACATTAATAGACGTCATAATGTTTTTGTAAAGTATGCACATTTAATCATATATTTTATTTGTATATGTTTAGTACATCATCTAGGGCAATGATACTCAAAAAAAAGTCTAGATTAATTAGTAATTATTGACTTTCGGTTAAATAATTATAATTTAAATTAAACTCGTTAGTAAAGAGTGCTTTAGCTATAATTAAATTATCATATTTTGACGCATACACATAAATACTGTATGTGACATAATGATTTTATACTGTATTACATTGTATTACAACGGGTATAACATTAGCTCAAATGAACTAGAAAAAATACACTTTAAATAAAAAATAAACATAATAAAAATTAGTTATTAACTTAATCATTGTAAGATCAGCTTTAATTAACACAACTGTTAATAATAGTACCGTAGTTATACTGTACTTACCAAATTAATATAATTTAGATAAAGTTTATCTTAACTTTATATTATTCGACCTAGTGTCTTAATAAGATTTTGACTTAAGAGCTCGTGTCCATCAAGCTTATATATTATTATATATTGTAAATATTTAATAAATTATTAATAATAATCATTTTATGCAACCAAGATACTTGCATTGATAAACGTAAACGTGAAATGCATGAAACCCAATAAAATGCAAAGTGCAAATTTAATATAAATAAATCTAAAGTCTAGACTATTTTAAAGTTTGATTAAGTAATGTTTATTATGACAATGCAAATATTGTTATATTTTTGCATAAAATGCATGTAATCCATATAGACAATAAATTGTTTATTAAAATTTTATGATATATATTATTAAATAATAATGTAATTTGAATAAAGTAATGTTACATGTTTTCACAATTATTTAAATTATTTTAAGCAATCAATTATTTTATACATTTGTACATTATGATAACAGTAAAATTTATTTATGTGATATTCAGTTCATTTAAAATGTTATTTAGATTACTTATTACAGTTTACATTATAAAGTACTAAATTATATGCAACTAGCTTATTGCCCATTAAAAGGGGTATATAATTGCACACCAACTTTGCAAACATTAGGCCTTTTCCATAGCGTTCTCGTGTATTGCTTAAGGCTCTGCCTGTAGGCAGCGATCAGAGGCAAAGAGAGTGTGAGAGAGAGAACGCACTACACGTACACTAATATCACTGTTGGCTTATATAATAGATTTATAAATAGCTTAATGATAACAAAATTGCTTTAAATCAAAATATTCTCACACTATATATAATTATAATTTAAATAACTGATTATTCACAACATTTGTATCGGATTACATGATATTGACATTCATTTAATATATGCAAAATAAAATTATTCATATAAAAGCTAATTTTAAGCGACTGCAAATTAAATTAAAGTAAGTGTAAATAATTTTTATAAGAATTATATGGATATTTATAAATAAATTCTAATTAAAGTATTTTACTAGAAGATGCAAGAATCTTTGTGTACGGTGCATAGCGTGACCACCTCTAGGTTTAAAAATAGAGAATATTTGACCAAAATCCCTTTAAAATAGAGAACACACATTTTTACGTTATTTTTTCTTCTAAATTTAAAAATTAAGATTATTTTATACCAATGTTAAAGTAAACTCTATCGTGTTAGGTGTCTAAAAATGGCAATTATTAATCATGAAAGTGTCAATTACTTTAGAAAGTTTATTATTGTATAAATAAATAAATATTTAATAAATTTAGTAACATTTCTATCATTTATTTTAAATTTAAAATAGAGAACAGTTCTTGATTTTGTCCAAATCCAGGTCCAAATAGAGAATTGTTCTCTGAAATAGAGCACAGGTGGTCACGCTAACGGTGCATAAGTAATCAATTTTAATAAATAATATATACTGTAAATTTATATGTGTCTATTCAACGAATCTACTATTTATCAAAATGATAGTTGCATAATTATATTTTAATATTATATTAATAACAAAATATATTTCTCAAATATTAAATTAATTTTTAAATAGATATTTAAGCTTAAAGAAATGGCTGAACTACCATTAACCAAACCAAGGTATATTATATTTGATTTGGCTCGTTTTGTTTGTAACCCACTATAGATTGGACAATACTTTTTGATTGAATAATTATTAAAATAACATATCAATTATGTATTAATATAAGTTATAATTTATAATTTATTGAATTACTCTCAATTAAAAACATAGGCGCCTGCTTAATGAAGGAAACAATGATGGTCATTCCAGTGAAGTAACAGTGGCAAGTAAAAGCGTGAATGCGGCAATTACAATGTGTGATCAATTGGTATTGGGGCCAACCAACAAGGTAATTCATATGACAAATCAAATTACAAATAAGTAAACAAACATAAGTAAACTAATGCTTTTAATTTAGAAAAAAGCGATAACAATAGTGCTGTTGGGAGTGTCAGGTGTGGGAAAGTCCACATTCATTAACGCTTTGGTCAATTATTTGACTTACGAGAGTTTGGATGCGGCCAAAGATGGACAGCCTATATGTCTAATACCCGTTAACTTTACGATAACTGATCCAAAGACTTGGGAGTCAAAGGTAGTAACATTGGGTGACCAGGATTTTAATGAAAACACTGATGACTCGACTAAATCTGCCACACAATACCCCAAATGTTATAACTTTGAAGATGATAAGATTGTGCTCAATATAATCGATACGCCGGGAATTGCAGACACGGATGGCGTGGATAAAGACAATAGAAATATGCAAAACATATTAGACTTTATCAGCAATTATTCAGAAATCAACGCTTTTTGTATACTCTTAAAGCCAAACGTGACGAGAGTTGACGTCGTATTCAAGTATTGTTTGCTTCAATTGTTCACTCATTTGAATAAAAGCGCCGCAAATAATATACTATTTCTGTTCACAAACTCCCGGAGCACTCATTACATGCCCGGAGAATCGGGTCCCGCATTAATGAGTGTTTTGAAGCAAATCAAGGAAATGCCGCCAAATGTTGACATCCCTTATAACTCAAAAACAACGTATTGTTTCGATTCCGAGTCGTTTCGATATCTCGTGGCTTCGGTTCCGCCAAATGATGTACAGTTTGAGCCGAGTTTTAAACCATTGTATGCCAAAAGTTGGGACAGGTTTGTGAATATTGTTATTTTTAATACTCATTATATAATACAAACATTTAATATAATCATTAGATCTGTGAGTGAATGCAAGCGTCTATTTAATTACATAACACAACTCACACCACACAAAGTGATGGACACATTATCGGTGAATAACGCCAAACAAATCATACAATTACTAACCAAACCGTTGGCCGACATCACGAAGAATATCATCGATAATCTCAATGAATGCGAAACACATAGACATGAGATCAAAGTCTTCTCGGGATCTCTCGAAGAGCTAAACAATAAGCTATACATACCGTCGGTTGAGATAATATCCGTACCGTTAGACCGGCCAAAGACTGTGTGCGGGGCCGACGAGTGCTGCGAACGCATCGATAATAACGGCGCGACCACCGAGATCAATTACACCAGCAAGTGCCATTCACCATGCTACCTCGAGTTTAGCGATGGCAATGTAGTGGGCAATAAGGGTTTACTCAAATGCAAAGCGTTCACCAGACACAGTAGCGCAGATCGTGACCCAGCTCATAATTCTGACCATGGTCAGTCGTGGCTGAGCAGAGCGTTGGCCGCGCCCACAGGTATCGTAAGGGATCGGTTAAACCAGTCGTACAGTTGCTTAAAATGCGGTCACAGTTACGAGAAGCACCTGCACTTAAAAATACTGTGCGCGCAGTGTTACTGGTTCCACCGGCTACTCCCACACCCGGCTGCGTATGTCAGCCACGACTACCGCCGCCTCTATGTCCTCGCTGTCTAGGATGCAGACCTGCGTGCCTAGCGTCAATTGTTGGCCGAAAACGAGACAATTGTCAACTCTATGGCAATGTTTGCCTGTTTTTTGGCCAACAATTCGTTGTCGCCATTAAACGACGCGTTCGAGGACTACGTCCGGCATCTCATAGAGAAAGAACGGTATAAAACTCTCGGCACCGGGAGTGAGGGCGCAATTGATCGGCTCCGGGATGTCTTACGCCAATACAACGCTGACAAACAGTTGATATTAGAGGGGATGCGCAGCGCCAGCGGTGGCCGTATTATCACGATTGAAATGATAAACGATTGTGTGGAGAAATTATGCAAGCTTACTCATAACGGGAGCATAATTCGAACCATGCTGAATCAACAGCAAATATCCAAAGTGAAACACAACACTGAGCACAGTCAGGTGGATTACAATACGAAGTCGTGGTGCCGGATGTTGTACCGGTTTACCAAAACCCTAGTTCCGTGACCGTAAAACAAGTTAATTAAAATTATTCTATCTAATAAAATATTTAAAAAAACAAATCGATAATAACACGATTTAATATATGCATTTAATAATTTGAAACAAACAACAATTGATTTTGTAAAATTATATACAGTATGTATTGTGTTTAAAATATATTGTTTATGCAATTTATGTAGAGGTTATTGGAAGTTATTGTATTAGTAAAATTAATTAATATCAAAACATTTAAATTACTCAACAATTTTCAATTTATACACCTTATTTTTAACATCGTAATCTAAATCATCAGCACCACGGCCTACAACATGGCCAAATGGTTTTGGGATCAAGGCACTGGCATTTTGTTCAATTAATTTTAATAAGATAGATTATTTTATAAATTTTTTTGTTTAGCTATTATTGTGCTAAATTACCGTATTATCCCATAGACAACGCGCGCGTTATCTAATGAAAAAAGTGTATTTTTTGCCAAAATTAGTGATGCGCGTTATCTACGGGGTGCGCGTTATATATGGTTTAAAAATAAATCACACAAAAAATATTTTAAAATTATTTTAAAAGTATTTTAAAAAGTGTTTTTAAAAATATTCTAGTTTATTAATAAATACAATTATACTAAAAAGGAGTCCATGTCTACGCGTCTCAATTAATCCCGACGGGAGTGATCTGGTGATGACCAGAACATTGACGAGACTTGCTGTAACCGCAGGCATAGGGCTCAATGCATTACAATTCTGATGAATGATATTACTCATGTAAAAAGATAGTTTTCAATGCATTGAGCCCTATGCCTACGGTTACAGATATGTTCATAACTCTGGTGTTTATGGCCATTCGCATGTTCTGAAACAAGTTTTAAAGTCTCGTCATTGTTCTGGTCATCACCAGAACACTCCCATCGGGATTAATTGGGACGCGTAGACATGGACTCCTTTTAAGTATAAAAATCAATCTAATCAGTCAAAATCAAAACCTGATCCTGATTCTGAACACATCTGAACACGCGTACACAACACATACAGTAGAGGATATGCGCGTTATACACGGGGTGCGCGTTATCTACGATTGATTTTTTATTCAAAAATATTGTTAAATTTCTTACTGCGCGTTATACACGGGGTGCGCGTTGTCTATGGGATATTACGGTAATATGCATTTAATAATTTGAAACAAACAACAATTGATTTTGTAAAATTATATACAGTATGTATTGTGTTTAAAATATATGGTTTATGCAATTTATGTAGAGGTTATTGGAAGTTATTGTATTAGTAAAATTAATTAATATCAAAACATTTAAATTACTCAACAATTTTCAATTTATACACCTTATTTTTAACATCGTAATCTAAATCATATAAATTACAGCAATGTTTTTATTCATTTCTTGTTCACTCAGTGTTGGACTCACAGAGGTTTGTAAAATTGGATCCGTTAATGTAAAACTAACGGGTATTAAACATATGGGCTGTCCATCTGTCGCCGCATCCATACAATCGTTTTCTGTAACATAAATTAAAAATTAATTAATGAATCAGAAGTATAATTTAAATTCATACTTATCTGTGCAATGCATTGTGGTAAATCATCCGAAATATTAGTTATTTTATTTGAACAATGCTGTTCATGACCTTCTATTATTACAGTAGATGACCGTCTTAAATTTCCATAAATATGTTCGTGGTGATTATTAATAGTCCTGATCAAATAAAGATATAATTACCGATATGTTTGTTTTGGAATGTATTTATTATTTTTACAATTTAAAATTACACAAACCTTTCCACAGGTAAAATAATAGCTCGTTTAACATCACTATCTAATGATTGTTTATTAACTATAAATGGATTCATAGATAGTATTTGTGTCAATAAACGCCCGCATTCTAACACAGAACTAAACAATTATAATTAATTAATATTTAGTAATTTTTATGCAAGTTAAAATAAAAGTTATAATATACAGTACTTACTGATCCCAACTTTCGCAATAAATAGACTTAAGTCTCGGTTCAAACTTTATATTATTGGTCGGAAGCGAAGCCACGAGATATCGAAATGACTCGGAATCGAAACAATAGATTGTATTCTTGTTATACGGGATGTCTATATTTGATGGACTTTCCCTTATTTCGTCCAATAGACTGATCAAAGCGGGACCCGATTCCCCGGGCAAGTAGTGAGTGCTCCGGGAGTTTGTGAACAGAAATAGTATATTATTTGCGGCGCTTTTATTCAAATGAGTGAACAATTGAAACAAACAATACTTGAAGACAACGTCAAATCTCGCTTCGTTTGGCTTTAAAAGTATACAAAACGCATTGATTTCACGATAATTTCTCAAATAATTTAATGTGTTTTCTATGTTTTTATTATCCTTATCCACACCATCCGTGTCCGCAATTCCCGGCGTATCGATTATATTGAGCACTAGATTTTCATTTTGAAATGTATAACATTTGGGGTATTGTGTGGCCGATTGTGTCGGGTCATCAGTGTTTTCATTCATATCTTGTTCACCCAGTGTTATATTCCGTGGTGTCTGAGTCTTGGGGTCAGTCAGTGTAAAACTAACCGGTATTAGACATACGGGCTGTCCATTTGTCGCCGCATCCAAACAATCGTATGTAAAATAATTGACGAATGCGTTAATGAATGTGGACTTTCCCACACCTGACTCTCCCAACAATACTATCGTTAACTTTGTTTTCGGTATTGTTTTCTGTAAAACAATTCAAAATTTTATAATAATTAAGAAATTGATCTAGGTACAATACTTACTGTAATCTCTGTAATGCGTTGCGATAATACATGAATTTGTGAACTGATTTGTACATCTACTTTATTTGGTGAAATCAGCCCATGATCACCAGCAAACTTATTTAAGGGTTGTTTATTCATATCTAACGAACGAGGCTGTGTTTGCGGTGGCTCAGCAATTTCCGGTTTGGAGTTGTTAATTATTGATTTTACCATGGTTACTCTACCATTAGTAGACTCCTTAAACAAATATTCATAAGTCGCATACCACTTTGTATTGGATCGACCAGGTTTTGACTTTGCATTATTTTTATGTACACCAAAGCACTAGATAAATAATTATCATGAAAATTTTTAAAAATAATGTGTTATGAATATCAATAAGGTCTCAAACTCACCCCCGAAAATAATGAAGGTTCATTGCTTTGTTTAGATTTAACCATTTCACCACGAGTTAACAATTGTGGCTGGGAGTGTTGAGCATGATGATCTTGTGATTGATCGCTGAGTTGAACATGCTCATTCTTACGTTTATTACCACGGATATTGTTTAAAAGTTGCCCGGGTTTGTATTTATTATAACGTGAAGCGAGGCTATTGTTATTCGCCATATTTAACTTAAAAATAAAATACTGATAAACAGTGTTGACAACTCACTATCATGACTAACGGATGTTGCCACAAGTTACAATTTGTTATAACTTATAACAAACTGGCACAATAAAAATGCCACTATCTTATATATTTAATATTTTATTATGATGGTGTGACTTATTTATATAAAAAATTGATTATGCTTATATTGTGATATAAATAATCTTATTATAAAATATTAAATAAATAGCAATATAAAATATAATGATATTTTAATTTAATTTTATAATCAATTAAAAATTTAAACCACAATTTTGAAATAAACAAGGTTTACACAGCGATGCTATACTTAAACCACAATTTAGGTAGTGCTTAAAAAATAGATAAGCATTGTGCATAGATAAACTATGACGTCTTATTAACACCTTTAAAATTAAAAAACAATTAACTTTATTAGATTTAATATTTAATTATTAGGCTCGTGTTTTAAAACAAAATCAATTAGACATTTTATCGCAAAACATTTTGGACACACCGAGTCTGGTGTTAGTTTGTGGGCTATAAACCAGATTATTTTGTCTATCATGATTTTTGACCTTGCTGCGTCGCTGTTGGGCCAACATTTGGGCAATTTGTGTCCCCTTATGCTTAAGCCCACACAATTTGTCAACGCATTTATCAATATCACCGGCAGTAATGACACCTTCGGCCCCGCGTTTGGCCGACTCCTCAATCAACGCCTTCTCCTCATTGTATTCACGTAATATACACTCGAGTCGTTCGACTGCGGCCCCGGTATGGGCGCCGTCGGGCGGTCCGTATCGCACCGTTTCGATCATGAATTGTACGTAATCTTTGAACGCGTCGTTTACGGGCGTCAACGCGTTGTCGGCCAGAAAGCGGGCAAACATTGACATCGACTTTAGGATTGTCTCGTTTTCGGTCTCCATTTCAACAATCCGTTCGTTCAGACACTGGATTTGGCGCTCTTTAATGGCCGCCTCATTGCGGGCCGACTCGAGCCGCGAGTCCAACTCCTTATTGTGCACCTTGCTTAGTTTGGCACGCGTTTCATACAGCAGGTGCCGGTGCTTTTCGTAACTATGGCCGCACTCGTGGCACACGGTATTCGCCGCTCGTATTAGGCCTACCGGCGCCGATATAGTTCTCGCAAACCACGATTGTTTAGCCTGACCAGGGTCACGATCGCGGCCACTCTGCTTGTTAAACGCTTTGCATTGTAGTAGCCGTATATTGCCCAAGAAGTTACTATGGTTAAAATGAAGGTAACATGGTGAATGGCATTCGCCCGTGTAAATGATCTCGGTTATGCCGTTAACCTTGATGCGTTCGCAACACTCGCCATCACTGCATACAGTCTTGGGTCGATCTAACGATTCGGTTATTATCTCAACCGATGGTATGTATAGTTGTTTCTCCAACTCATCAATAGTTCCCGAGAACTCTTTGATCGCAAGTCTATGTGTTTTGCATTCGTTTACGTTATCCGCGATATTCTTCGCGATGTCGGCCAACGGCTCAGTTAATAGTGATATGATTTGTTTGGCGTTATTGAGGGATAGGGTGTCCATCACTTTGTGTGCCGGCAGTTGTTTTATGTAATTGAATAAACGCTGACATTCCTTTGCGGAACTATTTGAAATAAATATATAAATTATTTGTAAACATGGTAGTATATAGTTATAGTTAAATATTGTCTCACTGGTCCCAACTCTCAATATAACTGTTTTTATATTTAGGGTCAAACTGTATATTATTTGGCGGAACCGAAGCCACGAGATATCGAAAGGACTCGGAATCGAAACAATACGTTGTTTTGGGGTTAAAAGGGATGTCAACATTTGGCGGACTTTCCCGGATTTGATTTAAAATACTCATTAATGCCGGACCGGAATCCCCGGGCATGTAGTGAGTGCTCCGCGAGTTTGTAAATACAAATAGTATATTATTTGCGGCACTTTTATTCAAATGAGTGAACAATTGAAACAAACAATACTTAAAGAGAACGTCTACTCTCACGTCATTTGGCTTCAAAAGTATACAAAATGCATTGATTTCTCGATAATTACTTATGAAATCCAATATATTTGTCATATTTATTTTATCTTGTTCAACACCAGACGTGTCGCCAATTCCCGGCGTATCGATTATATTGAGCGCAATATTATCATCTTCAAATTGGTAACACTTAGGTTCTCGTGTAGCAGATTTAGTCGGATCATCACTGTTTTCATTACAATCCTGGTCACCCAGTGTTACATTAACTTGTTTCCATGTGGTTGGATCAGTCAGGGTAAATTTTACAGGTATTAAACATATGGGCTGTCCATTAGTTGCATCGTTTAAACGTTCAAATGACAAATAATTTACCAACGCGTTAATGAATGTGGACTTTCCCACACCTGACTGACCTAACAGTAGTATTGTTATCTCTCTTTTCTAAATTAATTACAGTAAGTGGCGTTTATGTTTAAATTAAATAAATAAGCTAGTAATTTTTGCGTTATATGTAAATTACCTTGTTTGGTGTTTGATCAACCAATGACATTTCATCACATGTTTGGATAATGGATTCAACTCCATCACTGGCCGTAGTTATAATTTTAGACACATCAACTATTATGTCATTATATTCAACATTGTTTAACTGTATATTTCTGATTGGTTAAAATATTTTTAAGTCAAAGTGTAATAAAGGTATAGTTTTAGTAATATTTAATTATAGTATTTTTATAAAATAATTTAAGTTGCAATTTTTGGATATTTATAAAATAATACACCTACCTTGGCTTAGTTGGTGGTGGGTTCTTTTTATCCATTTTATTAATTTTCTAATGTATGTTGACAGTTTATTATAATCAGTAACGTTTGTTGCTTAAGTTACCAATTGCCAATTGTTATAAGAAAATGTCACGTAAGCGCCACATAAAACTGTAACTATTTTACTTTAAGTTGTATAACGCATACTAGATGTCATATAAGGGTGTAGTGACTGCACTGTAGTCGTCTTAAAGATATTGTCCAAAATTAATTTTCATATATACATTTGTGGTTGCATAGTTCCCAAAATATTACCTTCATTTATAGTATTAGTTTTATCAAAATAATTTATTTCTTATTTTAGAAATATGAACAATGCAATATAAATGGTATACTAAATTTTTATTATAATTCTATAAAATAGCGAACAATATTAGTATTTTATGTTTTTATCATCATTGATTATTAGTTTATCTCATATTTTAATTCAATCTACCTTAAAATCCTGTGTATAACTCGTACCTACAAACTTACATCAGTAAAAAAATTATTTTTTCATTTAGTGACTATTGTCGATGGTATACTTCACAATATAAATAAAGACTTGTCTAATATTTTTATATTAACAAGTTAAATACTATACTGTAATGAGCGTATCCCCAGACAACCCGCACACATTAATTTTTAAAAAATGTGATTTTTGTTAAACAACCGGCGGTTCATATACCGGATTTTACGGTACTTATAATACTTTACTTTCGCTATTCTCCATATTCATGTCTTTTTATAAGATTCCATTTAATTTAGCTCGTATTATTATTATGTGTTGCTATGTGTTATTAAATGTTTGTAATTAATAAAGTCGTGTTAAATTATGCTATGTTATGCATGTACTTATTTACACACGACGCCTTTATATATTTTTTTTTATTAAACAAGTGATTTTAATTTTTTAAGTAAGTGGATATAATTTTATTAGATTTTTATATGTAGCGAATATTGTACATGTTTTATTCATATACAGTATTCGCTACATAAATTATAACACATTTTTTTTATTAAACAAGTGATTTTAATTTTTTAAGTAAGTGGATATAATTTTATTAGATTTTTATATGTAGCGAATATTGTACATGTTTTATTCATATACAGTATTCGCTACATAAATTATAACACCATTTATTTAAAATAATACATACCTAGATTACATGGCTGAAAATAACCCACCAACACCAAAGCCGAGGTGTGTAATATTAAGTTTTAAAGAATATTTTTAATTGTAATTTTTTAAGATCTTTGCTATAGTTTTAAATATTTTTATATTATTGTTATAATTGTTTTACAACAAAAAATTTATTTAATAATAGGGGCTTCAAGAATATAGTAAATGCTACCATGGTTGAATCAAATATAATTACAACAGCCAGTAAAAGTGTAGATGTAATTAGAAAAATGTTTGATAAACCGAGCATTTCACATGTGACATTGAACAAATCACCACCAGTGCAAAAATCGGGTACAGAAATATTTAATAAACCGGACTTGGGCATTTCAGATTTAACATTAGAAGAATCAGCACCCGTCCAAAAGTCGTATACAAAAATAACTGATAAAACGGACTTGGGAACTTCACATGTAACATTTGATAAAACACAACCGGTTAAAAAGTCGGATACTAAGATAGTTGATAAACCGCCAGATGTACACAAAACTACACCAAAAGAGGTAATTTATAAAAATAATATGATTTTTAAATTCAAATGTAAACTTAATTTTATAATGTAGAAAAAAGAGCTGACAATATTATTGCTGGGCGAGACAGGTGTGGGAAAGTCCACATTTATTAACGCTATCGTAAACTATTTGTCGTTTGAAAGTCTGGATGCGGCCAATGGTCAGCCCATATGTATAATTCCGGTTAGTTTTACATTGACTGATCCGGACACCTATAAACAGGTCAAAGTAACACTGGGTGACAACGATTTAAATGAAAATAGCGCTGATCCGACTAAATCTGCCACTCAATACCCCAAATGCTATAAATTTAAAAACGATAACATTGTGCTCAATATAATCGATACGCCGGGTATTGCGGACACGGCTGGCGTGGATAGAGATAATACAAATATGCAAAACATTTTGGATTTTATAAGTAATTATAAGGAAATCAATGCATTTTGTTTCCTTTTAAAGCCAAATAATACGAGAGCTAACGTAGTCTTCAAGTATTGTATATTAGAATTGTTCACTCATTTGAATAAAAGCGCCGCAAATAATATAATATTTCTATACACTAACGCCCGGAGCACTCACTACTTGCCGGGCGATTCGAGTCCAGCCTTAATGAGTGTTTTAAACAAAGTCAAGAATAGACCGCCAAAAGTGGACATCACTTATAACAAGGAGACGACCTATTGTTTTGATAACGAGTCCTTCCGATATCTCGTGGCTTTGGTTTCGCCAAATAATATACAATTTGACACCAGATATAAGTCTAGTTATGTGGAAAGTTGGAGGAGGTTTGTAAATCTTATGACAAATTATATGTGGTAAAATACTTTATATTTATATTTTTATTATTGCAATAACATGTGACAAATTTGTGAAGTATGTACCTAATAAACCACACATTACAACTATAGTTATTAATTATAAGTTATAATTTATAACCTTAATTAATTTATAAATACTAATACTGTTTTATATAATTTATTTATAATAAGTTTATAATTATTTGCAATAGATCTGTAGAGGAATGTCAGCGACTATTCAGTTACATAACACAACTCACACCACACAAAGTGATGGACACACTATCCCTCAATAACGCCAAACAAATTATACAATTATTAACCAAACCTATGGCTGACATCACTAAGAATATCGCGGATAATATTAATGAATGCGAGAGATATATGACTGAAGTCAATGAATACAACGAATCCATTGAAAACCTACAGCAAAAACTATACATACCATCGGTTGAGATAAAAACCATACCATTAGATCGACCCAAGACTGTATGCGTTGAGGCCAAGTGTTGTACCCGTCAAACAATAAATGGCCTTGTCCATACAAAATACAATGAATGCCATTCACCATGCTATCTTAATTATAGCAGCGACACTATAGTAGGCACTAAAGGTTTACTTCAATGTTGAGCATTCATCATGGACAGTAACAGCGATCGTTACCCGGGTGAACCAATAACATTGTCCAGGGCAACTTTATCTAAGCACTGCCTCGAGTGCGGTCACAGTTACAAAAAGCACCTCCACGTGTGGTACAAAACGGTAACCAAACTGAACGAAGTGACCGATCAAGCGGTCGACTCGCGGCTCAGAGCCACCCAATCGGCCGCTGAGGCCAAAGAGCGACAGATTCTACTTCTGGACCAACGGATCGCCGAATTGAGCGCCGAAAGCGAGACAATTGTCTACTCTATGGCAATGTTTTTATGCTTTTTGGCCGCCAATGCGTTGACGCCATTGAACGACGCGTTTGGCAATTATGTTAAGCACATGATTGCCAACGAGTCGTTTGACTCGTCCGGCGCCGACAGCCCGACGCCTACTGCGGACCGACTCGAACGGGTGTTAGAGAAATATAATACGGATAAAGAGTTTATTAAATTAGCCGTTAAGACCACTCGCGGGTCAAAGGGTTTGGTGATTACCGTTGAGGAAATAGACGAGTCTATTCGTAAACTGTGCAAGCTCAAACATAAGGGTAAAGAAATTAACAACATGATAGATGACCTGTGCAGGGCAAAAGTGGAAAATGCAATTCACAACCATGTGGTTTACAACGCGCCCACAAATACTGGTTTTAGCATGAACAAATTTTTTTAAAAATGAGTCATTTAGACTATTTTGTAATTTAATTACATTTAAAATGTGTTACAAAATATGAATTTATTATTCTAATAAAATATATTTATTTAGTATATTCTGTTATACTATTACATAATATAGATTAAAGATGTCGATAATTCAGACTTATATATGTATTGCGAAATAAGAAATAAACATTCCAAAGGATTAAACTTTATTTATAACTTTATCGGTAATTTATCTTAAATACCATAATCATAAATGTCTCATTAAAATGTTGTATATATATCATGCTGAATATTAAATATTTTAAATAAATAATTTTAGTTATTAAAAAATTGTGTGTAAATATTTCATTTTTAAATATTCTCCTTATGTAATGAAAAATAATTTTCAAACATAACTTTGTTAATGAATTCATGTTCGCCATACACCGATCATTTTAATCTTAATAATATAAAATATTGAGTAATAATTAGATTTGCCAACTTAATTGGATAAATTACTTTAAAATTTCAACATTTCCTTGATTTCCAACATTTTTATGGCATACCGGGAGTTTTTACTGTTTTTAGTAAAAATATACAACAATTATTTATAATTTGTTAACTTTCCTTATAAAAATTAGCTTGCGTATAATATATTTATTTTTAAAATTCTCTTATTTTGTTAATTATTATAGCAATGCATAGTTATTACACAAAATAATTACATACAGTAACAAAAAATATCCATCTTAAAAATACAATGTCAAAAAAGCTCGTTAAAAAACAATTTCCCTATTCCTTGACAATCAAGGTAAACGTCGACGAGTTGGCAAGCCTGTTAACAATATGAACTTAACAATGCAAGAATGTTATCATTAAAGTGTCTATGGAAGTTTATCACTATACATAAAATAATTTTATGTAATGAAGAGCTAAATTAAATACTCTAAGTTATTAGATTGAGGTAAATTCAAACCAAATTTATGCGATATTTTTATTTCAAACATTGTTTTTATAATTAAGAATAATATAAATTATATAACTTATTATAAATTGTCTTCTACTTTTAATCTCTTAAATATTATTCAATTGTGATTAATATTGTGACACATTTTATAAGATATACTTTAAGACACTTAATAAATAAGTCATAAGAACTACAATCGTCTCAAAGTAAAATATATAAATTATTTAATTTTTTCTTTTGGATTATGATAAGTTTATTGATACTTGCATTCAGAGTACTCATAATTTTTTACTTTAATTAATCTCTATATTCATATCATATGAACAATAAGTTATTGGTTTATCAGTATTTGGAATTTGAATTCTTGATATATCCTACAATCTAATAATGCATAAAGGTTTTATTAACAAAAGTGATTTTTGCATTTATTTTATGAATTTAATATAATAAATGTAATATAAGTTTAATTTGATATAATTTTACATTTATTTAAAAAAGTGTTTTTAGGCTACAATACAAAAAAAATCAATTAGTAAGTGTATATAATTTTATTATTAACTGTTTAATGCATATTTGATCATCATTAAGGCTAGAAATTATATTTTTAATGTATATTTCAACATAATTCATTCATGAGATTCTACATTAAAAGTATTAGATTAAGGTGCAAAACTTTCAAAATTATACTTTAATATATATTTTTTGTCACCAAAGTGTCACTTTTTTTCTAGCCATAATCATCATTTTGTTTAACTTAATTATTTATCTTAATTATTATAATAACCAACGCTTCAGTTAAACACATAAGCAATAATAAAAAACTAACTATAACTAAATTACTAAAAATAATAGCTTGTACTAAATATGTGGGAAATAAGTTTTGTATTTATGTGTATATTTAGTTATACAGAGTAATTAGAAAATAGTAATTAATACTACTACTATTATTATTACTATAGTAATATGTTTCAAAATTAGATATAAGTACTAGATAATTATTATTGGTTGAATTAACAGTAAAAAGTAATTTATTTAACTAACATTTTATTTACTGACCAATCTAAGCGATCAATGGCTGAAAATAATCCACCGCCAGTAAAGCCAAGGTATGTTACATTTAATTTTAACTCTGGTTTACGATACTTTGTACAAGTCATTTATTTAAAAACCACTTGTTAAAACAATTCTTACATTAAATAACTAGTTAAACATGTCGTTTATGTAACTTAAATAACTAGTCAAAATTATCATGTTGAGTATTATAATTAAATATATATATTTTATAACAATAGGCGTCAAAAAAGTGATGAATCAAATGTTGGGGTCGATTCCGGTACGAGTAAAAGGGTTAGTGGAAATGTTGATGCCATGAGACAAAAGTTTGACATGTCGCCGGACCTGGGCATTTCACGATTGTCATTCGACAAATCACCATCACCGCAAAAAACCTGGACTAGACCGTTTGATAGATCCCCAGATACCGACAAATTGCCACCAAAACAAGTAATTTCTAAATATAACTATACAATGATTTTAAATGTTAAAACTTGTTGTATTAAAATTACATAACGTATGCAGAAAAGAGAGATTACGTTACTATTGTTGGGTCAGTCAGGTGTGGGAAAGTCCACATTCATTAACGCTATTGTAAACTATTTGTCGTTTGAGACGATGGATGCGGCGAACGGACGGCCCATATGTTTAATGCCCGTCAGCTTTACTATATCGGACCCATCGACTTTATTACCGTTGCCAGTAGCGCTGGGTGACCAGGATCAAACACAGGAACAAACCAAAGACACTACTAAATCGGTTACCCAATATCCCATGTGTTATAAATTTGAAGATGATAATATTGTGCTCAATATAATCGATACGCCGGGTATTGCGGACACGGATGGTGTGGAAAAGGACAATATAAATATGAAAAATATTTTGGATTTTATTAGCAATTATCGAGAAATTAACGCTTTTTGTGTACTCTTAAAGTCTAACGACACCAGAGTTAGCGTTGTGTTCAAGTATTGCATATTTGAATTGTTCACTCATTTAAATAAAAGCGCCGCAAATAATATATTATTTCTATTCACAAACTCCCGGAGCACTTACTACGTACCCGGGGAATCCGGACCCGCTTTGATCAGTATTTTGAAGCAAATAAAGGAAAGTCCGCCAAAAGTTGAAATCCCTTATAACAAAAACACAATCTATTGTTTTGATTCCGAGTCCTTTCGATATCTCGTGGCTTCGAGTCCTCCCAATAATATACAGTTTGATTCAAAACAGAAATCTAGTTATGTTGACAGTTGGGATATGTATGTAAATTAAAAATTTTGTGACACTTTATAATTTTAAAAATGTAACATATTTTAATATATAGATCGGTGAAAGAATGTCAGCGTTTGTTTGAGTACGTAATACAACTTACGCCACACAAAGTGATGGACACATTATCCCTCAATAATGCCAAACAAATCATACAATTATTAACTCAACCGTTGGCCGACATTGCGAAGAATATTGCGGATAACGTTAAAAAATGCGAAAAACATAGCATTGAAATCAAAGAGTTCTCGGGAACTATTGAGGAGTTAAACAATAAGCTATACATACCATCGGTTGATATAATAACCGTACCATTGGATCGACCCAAGACTGTGTGCAGTGATGGCGAATGTTGCGAAGCAAAAACAATTAACGGGGTAACAGATATTACCTACACGCGCGAGTGCCATTCACCATGCTACCTTGTTTTGAACGATGGCGATATTATGGGAAACACGGCTTTATTGCGATGCAAGGCGTTTAACAAAGAGAGTAGAAGCGATCGTAACCGGGGTGAATTGAAATCATGGTGGCTGGCCAGGGTGCTTTCCAAATCGAGCGAGAAACGCAAAGAAAAAGGTGCACAGTCAAATGTGTGCCACGAGTGCGGTCACAGCTACGAAATGCACATGCAATTGTTGTACGAAACGCAACACAAAGTGACCAAGGTAACTGACCAGGCGGTGAACACCAAGATTAAATCCGTACAAATAGCCGCCGATCTTAAGGAGCGTCAGTTGCGAACTCTCGACAAACGGATCGCCGAATTGAACGCCGAAAACAAGATTATCGCTGAATCGGTGCCAAAGTTTGCCTGTTTTCTGGCCAACAATGCGTTGACGCCTATAAACGACGCGTTCGAGGCCTACGTCCGGCACCTCATAGACAACGAGCGGAAAGGGTTCACGACTACCTCCGGCGCCGATAGTCGGGTCACAACCGAGCGACTCGAACAAATGCTCGATCAATACAAGAAAGAAAAAACGTTAATTAAGTCGAAAATGAACGAGCCTGATGCCGGTTCACCTGGCTCAATTACGTTGGCCGAAATAAACGCGTGCGTTGAGAGACTGCGCATGCTCAAACATAAAGGCGGTGCAATAAGTAGAATGCTCGACGAGCAGAGTCGGGCAAAAGTGAGTCGACACGTGCGTCAGAATCAAGTGGATTGTAGCGCATTGCCCAATAATAAATTTAGCATAGCTAAATTGTTCTCCAAAAAATGATATTAGTTAACAAATTTAAATAAACATTATTAAATGAAATTGTTAGAATTTTTGGAAATTGGCCATTCACGTTAATAAAAGTTTATATTAATCTAAATTTAATAAATATAACAGTATAAAGATATACCCAAAATTAAAATTTTTTATTTTTATGGAATGCATATTCATAGATGTCTCTACAGTTAGCTTTACAGTTCTGCATATTATAAGTATGGTTTGGGAGAACAATGGGTGTGGAATTTATATTCAGCGTCATAATTTTATACTTGAAATTTATTTGTAAAAGAAAAGTACTTGTCCTGTACTATATTAATACTTTAACAATTAGTATGATATTCAATTATAACTAATAAACATAATATTTTTTAATAAATGACAATGTTATCATAATGATAAGAATATCATAAACAATTAAAACTATTTTGCTTAGTTACGCGATAGTTATATAAGTCAGTTAATATTACATTTTTTTATACAATCATTTTAATATTACAATAAATAAACACCATTTCTATTATTTAAATATAAAATAAATAAATTATAAAGTAAATGAATAAACATAACATTAAACTTAATTTATGTGTGTATAATAAGTGAATAATGTCACAAAACATCAATCAATTTAATAGCATGAACATCGGTGAGGTGGTTACTAACAATCAACATGGATTACTTACTAATGTTCCACAACATGATCAACATGTCCACCGAATAGCACCACCAAAACCAGCGTAAGCTTACTTAATATAATATATTTTATAAACTATAGTCAATCAACTATTTTGTAATACACTGACTATTAAATATGTATCATCTAAAATAGACGTTTAAAACAAAGCAATACAAATACAAGCCCAGCCCAAACTCATTATGTCAATGTGACCATGATAAGTGGTGGTGCTGAAGTTAGATCACGCGAACCTCCAAAAGGTAATACTAACGAAATTATTTATATTATTTTATTAATATGACATGATAATTATCAAATGAATTTTAAAAGTGAAGGAACGTACTATTTCAAAACCGGTGGCACAACCTAGGCGAGTTAAACCGCGACAGCCTAAGGAACATGTATATGAAGAACTGCGTCCGAATTTGCCGCCAAAACCTATGATTGAAAAAAGTACTGTTATGATTGAACAAGATGAGTTTGATGGTGCTACACAAATATCAAGGGTAATTCATATGTATTTGTATTTTGTGTATAATTTGTATAATGTGAAATTAGAATATTTATAAAAATCAGATATTATTCAGAAAATTATAAAATATTTTATAAATTAATAAATACTAAACCTAATCTCTATTATAGCAAACCAATAAAAATGAGTTGTAATTGTTTATTAAAACATTTATCAATATATTAAAAATTGTTATATTAATTATAGAAGAAAGAGATCACAATATTACTGTTGGGCGAGACAGGTGTGGGAAAGTCCACATTCATTAACGCATTGGTAAACTATTTGTCGTTTGAAAGTCTGGATGCGGCCAATGGTCAGCCCATATGTTTAATTCCGGTTAGTTTTACACTAACTGATCATAAGACACGGATACCTGTGAGGGTAGTACTGGGTGAACAGGATATGAATGAAAATACCGATGATCCGACTAAATCTGCCACACAATATCCCAAATGCTATAAGTTTCAAGATGATAATATTGTGCTCAATATAATCGATACGCCGGGAATTGGAGATACAGAGGGCATGGATCAGGACAATAAAAATATGCAAAATATATTAAACTTCATAAGTAATTATAAGGAAATAAATGCTTTTTGCGTACTTTTAAAACCAAATGAAGCGAGACTTGATATACTTTTCAAGTATTGTTTGTTTCAATTGTTCACTCAATTAAATAAAAGCGCCGCAAATAATATATTATTTCTATTTACAAATTCCCGGAGCACTGACTACTTGCCCGGGGATTCCGGTCCCGCTTTACTCAATATGTTAAAGCAAATCCGGGAAAGACCGCCAAATGTTGACATCCCTTATAACAAAAATACAATCTATTGTTTCGATTCCGAGTCCTTTCGATATCTCGTGGCTTCGGTTCCGCCAAATAATATTGAATTTGACCCGAGATTTAAGTCAACTTATATTGAAAGTTGGGATCGGTTTGTGATACTAATAATTTAAAGATAAAATTATACATTAAATGTTTGCATAATTTATAATAGATCTGTGGATGAATGCCGGCGCCTATTGGACCACATAATACAATTGCCGGCACACAAAGTGATGGACACCCTATCACTCAATAACGCCAAACAAATCATACAAATAATAACCAAACCGTTGGCCGACATCACGAAGAATATCGCGGAAAACGTTAAGCAATGCGAAAGACATAAACGGCGGGCTAGAGAGCAGCACAAATCGGGAACCGGTCACAAACCAGAGCACATACCTAACGTTGAATTAATATACACATCATTACGTCATCCCAAAACAGTTTGCAATAATATTCAATGCTCTACCATTACGGTGATTGACGATATGCCTAGAGCAAATTACAACACCGGCAAACCGTGCCATTCACCATGCTACCTCGATTTTAACGATTGTAATATTATGGGCAGTAAATCACTGCTCGGGTGCCGTGCGTTCAATAAATACGGCAACAAAGATCATTATCGTGATAAGTTTAAAAAGTCAAATAAGGATCCAGTTACCAGGGTTATTAGTAAAGCTATAGGCAAGGTGACTAAGTCCGATTTTTGTCGTAAATGCGGCCATAGTTACCGAGAGCATTTAACTCTTACGTACGAGACAAGCGACAAGTTGGGCACAGTTCCCGCAGAGACCTCTAACGCTCGGCCTTTACCATCACTACCCGTGTCGGGAACCGATGGTCTGGAAGCAGTGGTCAGATGTCTGGACAAACGCATTGCCGAATTGAATGCCGAAAATAAGACAATCATTAACTCTATGGCAATGTTTGCCTGTTTTTTGGCCAACAATACGTTGACCGCCTGTCCGGACGCCTTCGACGACTACATCCAGCACTTGATGGCCATTGAATCGCGCGGTACTGACCGTCACAGTCGGGCAACTGTCGCCTGGTTTGAGCAGTTGTTGCATAATTACCGACATACAAAATTGGCCATAATGAATAACCAACCCGAGGGGGCTATGATTACTGTTGTGAATGTCAATGCATGTATTGAAAATTTGTATAAGATGAAATTTAATGGTCGTTTATTTAGCAAAATGCTAAATTCTGAGCAAATGTCCAAAGTTAGACACCATATGGACTACAACGAGATAGAATACAGTGATCTGCCTAATAGAAGGTGTAGTTTAACTAAATTTTTGAATCCACTAAGTAAGTATAAATAAATATTACTAAAAATATTTTTTACAATGCAAATAGTTACTGTTTATGCTTCATAAGTAATATTACATTTGAAATACCTCATAAGAATACTGATTTAATGTAGTTCAATTGAGTAATGATTAACATAAATAATATACAGGGTTGTTTTTATATACCAAGAGTTTTAATTAATTTTTTAAAAATACTTAGACTTGAGATATTTTGTTCAAATAAATTTTGTTTTATTTAGAAATAATGATAATTTTAGTGGAACTAATGAAT